TTTTTTTTTGGCTATTGCTAAAAATTTACCCAAGTGACTTAAGACTGGTTTTGTGGTCCAGGGTCACATATAATAAATGGTGGTGGGCCGCCTGGACCAAAAAAATGCCTGGGCCGATTTTTTGTCCCAGTCCAGCCCTGGGCTTAACCCATGGCAAATATGCTCCTTTGATCCTCATTTTACATGTGACACCAGCATGAGTAAGTCAGTATCACCAACGCATTGCTACCTTTGATAATGTTATGATAATGGTTTTGTAATGCAAGGTGCTTCAGACCAACTGTGATTGCAGTTGTGCATGCAATCCTAAAGAGCTCCAGACAGTTTGATCATTTTTTCCTCTTGATTTAACACTTTCCACATGAAGGAGAGCGCTGGCTCTATTTCAGGACAATCACCCCCTTTTGTGAAGGTCATGAGGAAGTCAAACCCTTCAGCCTTCTGTTGCAGTAGTCACCATGGCAACGTACCCCGCCTTCCGGCGACGAAGACAAAAGCCACCGTGTAGGGGGGACGAGAAAGAGGGGCATTTGTCAAAAAAGGAACTGATGCATATTCAGCAGACACACACACATATGTTCTGAGCAAACTGCTCATCCCATGTGTGTTTGAGTTTGTCATTCTTCTTTTTTTTTATTGCCCTTTAGGGCCAAAGGTTGCAATAGCTCTGAAGTAGCTGATATGGATCAGGTTTAGCGCGTGTGTGCAGGCGTGCATGTTAATATCAAAGCACCTGTAGCGTGGTGATACTTTAGGTGCAAAAAATCACCTCAAACCTTAAATTTAACATCACTTTGACTCACTTCAAATGTAGGTTCTCTGTAAGTTTCTGTGGTGGTTGTTCAGCTCTTATGCATCTTATGCATCAGCTCTCATGCTGCTTTTACATACTCACCCTCATGTTGTTTCAAACCCAGTTTGCTGTTTCTTCATAGAATACAAAAGGAGAATATTGACAAGTCTTCATGCAGCTCCTTTCCACATTAAGATTCTGCAAAAATCTCCTTTTGTGATTCATGTCAAAAAATGTCGAAATATGGGTTAGGGTTAGGAATAAAATATACAGTATATATTTAGTATCAACCAATCAGTACGGGTTTCGGACAGTTTGGTCATTTCTAATTATTGGAGGTCCCCTTCATGTCTATTTACAGAAGTCAGAAAGAGCTTTATTGCCAAGTATGTTTAAACACACAAGGAATTTGTCTTGGTGACAGGAGTTTCCAGTACAGACATAGTGCAAACATACATGATAGTGCAGACATACGAATTACACAGTAGAGATGAAATATAACACTAATATAAGAAAAACAAAAAAATAAATAATGCAATATAATACAGAAGTAGAAATATAGAGAAAAAAACATCATTGTTTTAATGAATGTACAGATATGTTATTTACAATTGTACAGTTTACAAATGTACTGCTTGAATGACGAGTCAGATGATTTTTCCTAACTTTTAAGTGTTTCTAAGGGAAGCGTTTATGTAAGGCAGAAAGGAACAGAATAATACTGAGACTTTTTTTTAATGTGGATTATTTTTAACTTAACATGGCTTTGTAAAAATGAAATAATTTTGAATAAGGGGTGTTCAAACCTGTTCCTGGAGGACCACTGTCCTACAGAGTTTAGCTCCAATTCTAATTACACACAACTAATCAAGGTCTCAATGGAAACTTTCATGCAAGTGTGTTGGAACTGGTTGGAGCTATGGGAACAGGTTTAGACACCCCTGTCATGGATGAATGTTAAAGTAAACAGTGCAGAAGGCCATGCAATCTTTGTCAGAATGCGTTATGGTTGCAGCAGCGAGACTTTTTAAGTCTGCGCAAACTGGAGGTTGCGTCTGACTTTTTGAGTAAAACAAGTAAAAAAAAAAAAAAAAAAAATAGAATGTTAAAAATAGAGGGCAGAGCTTGATTTTAGTACACTTCCTGCTTACATTTACATTTGATATTTATTCATTTGGTAGACGCTTTTATCCAAAGCGACTTACAAATGAAGAATACAACAAGCTATTCATCTTAATGAGGCAATAACTCAAAAAGTGTTAGGTTTCAGGTTTTTACTTAAGGTTATATGAAAACAAACAATTTTATATATTTATTTATTTTTCTATTGATTTACATGCATAGATTAATGGTTCACCACAAGACTAGTAATATGCATTAGTAAATAGGTTTAATTTTGATCCCATACTGATTTTAAATTGGATGAATTTAAAGATGCAACTTTTTCAAAGGATTTTACCATACAAATTGTGTAACAGCTAAAGCACACCACTGCTACTAAAATATCAAAACAAAAAAGATAAAATTCTCAGTTACTGACAAGTCAGTTGAGCAGATGGTTGGACTACACTTGTCGACAAAACGACCATCCAATTTGGAATGACATGACGCCGAGTAAACGCAGAATTTTCATTTTTAGGTAAGCGGTCTCTTTAAGACATTGAAGTGACGCTTGTTTTCAGAAACCTATTTTTCTTTTCCAGGAAGTAGA